GCCCGGCGTTCACAAGGATGACTTTCAGTGGCCAAGGAATTTCTATTCCAAGGACAGCGCCCTTCAGATCAAGGCCTTTCCTTTTCACTTCTCCTGCAACTCTACCAAGTCCTCAGCTGGGGACACATCACCAGTCCTGCCGAGAGCAAACCTGATGGAAATTTGGGGGCACAGACGGCATGCACAAACATAATTTCAGCACAGTCTCCCTCTGCAGCATGGCTTGGAATGGTCATTGGGTTTCTGTGGACATTTTCCATTCCGTTTTCTGGAAGAGAGCTGGTGGGATGTTTTGGAAAGAATGTGGGTCTGGGAGTCTGGAGAAACTCACTTTGGATCTTCCTTTTTCATTGATTGCATGTTACTTGATTTTTTGGCATGTTAAAATTTCATCTTTAACTGAAGGAGACACGTGTACCCCAATGTTCATCGCAGCACTGTTTATAATAGCCAGGACATGGAAGCAAGCTAGATGTCCATCAGCAGATGAATGGATAAGAAAGCTGTGGTACATATACACAATGGAATATTACTCAGCTATTAAAAAGAATACATTTGAATCAGTTCTAATGAGGTGGATGAAACTGGAGCCCATTATACAGAGTGAAGTAAGCCAGAAAGAAAAACACCATTACAGTATACTAACACATATATATGGAATTTAGAAAGATAGTAACAATAACCATATATGAAAGACAGGAAAAGAGACACAGATGTATAGAACAGACTTTTGGACTCTGTGGGAGAAGGCGAGGGTGGGATGATCTGAGAGAATAGCATTGAAACATGCATATTATCAATTGTGAAACAGATCGCCAGTCCAGGTTTGATGCATGAGACAAGTGCTCAGGGCTGGTGAACTAGAATGACCCAGAGGGATGGGGTGGGGAGGGAGGTGAGAGGGGGATCAGGATGGGGAACACATGTAAATCCATGGCTGATTCATATCAATGTATGGCAAAAACCACTACAATATTGTAAAGTAATTAGCCTCCAACTAATATAAATAAATGGGGAAAAAATCCATCTTTAAAGTAGGAATAATCATAAAAGCGTGGGGAGAAGTAACTAGAGCCTTTTTTAAGACAGGAAGGGAGGGAGGGAGGAAGCAAAGGAGGGAAGAAGGGAGGAGGGGAGGGATGGGTGGCGAGAGAGCGGAGGGAGGAGGGGAGCACCGCGGAGCACCCAGCGTGGTCTCTGAAGTGTCAGAGTTGCCTCTTCTGACCCCTTTTACTCTCGTTTCAAAAGGCAGCTCTCTGGGGGCCTCTGGGATTAACGTCATTTTTCCTCTAGTCCCCAAATGCCTTAAATCCACTCTCAGAGAACCCCTAAAATGATGCAAGACATGGGATACTCGAGAACCCCTAAAATGATGCAAGACATGGGATACTCGAGAACCCCTAAAATGATGCAAGACATGGGATACTCTCATTTGATCAGAATCCCCTTTCTTGGTCCATATTTCAACCCCACCCACACATTCAAGAGATGTTTTCTGACTTATGACTCTGCTTGCGTGCTGAGCTCATTTTTGCCAACACCCCCGGTTATTCTTTCTCATCTCTACCCTCCCCAAATAACCCCGTCCCACCACACCACTCCCCAGACCACACCTCCCTTAATCCTCTCCTGGGTGGCAAGAACAGGGTCTCATTTCCTGACCTTGCTGCCACCTGGGGACGAACACCAGCCTGGAAAAGCATAGGGGACAGAGTGATAAGCACAGTCTGATGGAAACTCCCCGCTCGCCTGCGCTCGGGGCAAGCAGAAAACGCCGCTCTGGGTGGAGCGAACACGCCTCAGTTTTGAATCTCTACTTGGCACTGACCTGGATCCTATCACCTTGTCATACATCCTTTGCTCTAAAGAGAAAAGTCACAACACCCACCCACCTCCCCGGGGCCTTGGAGAACAAACAGTAAATTGTTAGGAGTGAATGGTGCTTTTTATTATGGATTCGCTCTTCCAAGAAAAACCAGTTATGCTATCGTGAGCTGCCCTCTTACAAGCAATTTAGAAAGGAGGCAGTACAAGGAAGGAGCGATAAGAAGGAATTTCTAAAGGAGAAAAAAATAATGATTAAGTTCATACCCAGTTTAAAATTTCACATGCTCTTGAGCACAACGAAATTCAACCCATTCCCAAAGATACGTGAGTCCTGTGAAATGAACGTGGTCTACAAGGAAGGAGGTGACAGTGGATTTTCAGTTAAAATGTCAAAGGCTGCTTTTGCTGAAGGATGAAACTGACTCTGGAGTATTGTTTCAGTTTCCAGAAGTTGGTAACCAGGATCCCCAGGAGTGTGCTGTCCAAGTGAGGACGCCCTTCAGTGCGGAAACAGACAGTTATGATGGGCGGGGGGCGGGGGAGAGGGGTGCTCCCTGCATCTATTAAAAACTGTCTCATGGATCACTCGGCATCTTTTCTCCCCAGCTGAGTACCAGGAGCCGTGACGGCTGGTGAAGCACATATTCAATCCAAAAACCAGGTTGGGCCTTGAAAAAAATCAAACACCAAAGGGCACTTTCCCTCTTTTCTTCTTTAGCACACTAATTTCTGTTTTCTGTCCCCACTGGTTTTTGAGTGTGAGCTTCTGTGAGGGGAGAATCTGAAGGTACCCACCTGGGCAGACATCTGGGGCCTTAATATCCCAGCGGTGGAGTGCTGAGGCTGAGTAAAAACGAACGTGGGGCTCAGGCAAAGGGGTTATTAATGCACAATGTTTGCTTTGCACTTTAGAAGTTACGGAGCACATAAATCATTTCATCTTATTCTTTATTCTGTGGTTTTTTAAACCTTTTGGACCTTTATACATCATGACCCAGCATATGTATCACACACACCCACACACACACCCATGCACACATACATGCATGCACACACGTACGCAAAGCACCACATATATATCTGCATGCACACACATACACACTCAAATATTACTCTACGCAAAACACTGTTATTTTCTATTTTATCCATTTGATTTTTTTTTAATGCTGGCACAACCTTCCAAGGGCTTCCCAGGCCTTCGTGGTAAAGAACCCGCCCGCCAGTGCAGGAGACATAAGAGAGGCAAGTTCAGTCCCTGGGTCGGGAAGATCCCCTGGAAGAGGGCATGGCAACCCACTCCAGTATTCTTGCCTGGGAAATCCCATGGACAGAGGAGCCTGGCGGGCTACAGCCCATGGGGTCACAGAGTCGGACACGGCTAAAGTGATTCAGCACGCATGCATCCACAGTCTTCTAAACTAATTTCACGACCCACTAATGGTTGCTTCTAGTCAGAGTTGACTGTCTTCTTTGGCACCTGCACACCTCTCCACGCCTTTTTCTACCCTGTTTCCTGAATTCTCAGGGATGGAAACCTAGAAACTGCTCTTCCTATAGTACCTGGCCAAGACGATTGCTGTCTACTTTTGGCCAAGGTCATGCCCTTGAGCAAGACTTGGATGGTGGAGGGCGAAGGTGGGGGGCTTCCCCAGCAGTGGCAGTGGTCACACGGGGGCTTCAGTGCAAGGCCCCCCAACTTTGGTTCTCCTCATCTTTCCTCTGGTCTTTAAAGCAACTCATCCCCAGTTTAAATGCCCTTTTGCTTCAAATACCGGCTGCCACTTCCTGACTGAAGTTCAGCTGATAGAGACAGATACTGGAAATCCCCCTTCCGTTTGCAGAAACCAACACCTAAGAAGCTCAAATGACTGGTTCAGATCACAGAGTCCTAAGGGGCAAGTCCCTAGCAGGCTTGCTTTTTTTCTTTTGGCCATACTGTGCAGCATGTGGGATCCTCCCCAACCGGGGATCGAACCCGGGTCCCCTGCACTACTGGGAGCACAGGCTCCTAACCACTCGACCACCCAGGAAGTCCCCACAACAAGCCTGCTGATGACAGACTCAGTTATCTTTCTCACCACCCCACAGTTGCACGTGTGTCGTATAAAGCTGTTGGAAGTGTTTGTTTATGCAAAGCTATGCTAACTTTAACACCTCAAATTCTTTTAAATTTTCTCAATTTTTCCTCCTTTTCATCAATCAAATTAAATGCCTTTCTTTTATGCCTGTATCAACCTACTCTGCACTTTCCTTTCTGTGAATTGCTACGTTGAGAGTCATTGGAAACTGCCAAAGGATATGATTATTCTCCCGCTGCTTACATGTACATCTTTTTCTCCAAACCAGGCTGTAAGTGCCTTGAAGTCAAGAATTCTATCAGAACTTTCTTGTGACCTCCCTCGTATAGCTCTTAAGATTTGTCTTCTATTACAAGCAAGAGATACTCAGCAAATACGGTTGACAATTAATACACTGTGCATTGCCACAATTAATACAGTACTCAATTGCCATTTTGCCAAAGTTCACAGGTTGTAACAAAAGACAGGGACTTCCCTGGCAGTCTAGTGCCTAAGACCCTGGGCTCTCCCTGTTTAGGGACCACGGGTTCTAACCCTGGTCAGGGAGCTAGAACCCTACATGCCGAACGACACGTAAGGTCAGTCTGCTCACACCTTCCAAACTGTCCAGGTAAGAAGACACGCTCTGCAAGACAGTTTGGAGGAAGGAGAATTGGACTCAAGGGATAAAATTCAAGGGTCCTTTCCCCACAATGGAAACAGGATGTGGTCAATCAGGAAAAGAAAGGGGCATACAGGTCACTCTGGCGACGAAAAGGGGAAATTATCTTTATTGGATGTCAGCTATTTTAATGAAACTCTACTTTTCCCCTTCATTTGACGCCCTCAACTGTTTATCATGTTTACGTTCTCCTATTTTATAAAGAAACCTCCAGGCCTTTGTGAAGTGAGGCTGGTTGGACCCTTTGAGTACTTCCGTTTACACCCACTCTGCCCTTGAGTCAGAGTCTGCAAAGCACTTCCTGCCACCGGGGGTTGAGTTTGGACCAGCCACTCAAGTCTAAAGTTGATGCTTTTTAAAAAAAACTTTGTGTCTGTTATTTGTGTTCATTGACTTTGGCTGTACGGGGTCTTCATCGCTGTTCCCGGCTTTCTCTAGGTGCGGCGAGCGGGGGACACCTCGTTGCGGCGCGCAGGTTTCGGTTGCGGGGGCTTCTCTCGTTGCGGAGCACGGGCGTTAACGCAAACGCGCTTCAGTGGCTGCGGCGTGAAGGCTCGGTAGCTGCGGCACACGGGCCTAGCTGCTCCACAGCTTGTGGAATCTTCCCGGACCCGGAATCAAACCCATGTCCCCTGCGTTGGCAGGCAGACTGCTAACCACTAAACCACCAGGGAAGTGGGTAGAGTTGATGCCTTTTAGACCACTGGTTCTCCAAGTACGGTTGCCAGGCCAACAGCATTAGTACCACCCGGGAACTTGTTAGCCGCGCCCCCAGGCTCCGGCCTGATCTGAATTGAAAAGTTGGGGTGGGGGCCCAGCAGGTGACACTGGTGCAGCTAAGAGGCAGGGGACATCGCTTTAGATGTTTGACCCGAACCGGAAGCCCTCCCCACACGCAGTACCCACGGCCCCTTCATCCACTGTCCTCAAGGCTGCACCCAGCGCGGGGGACTGCAGCACAGCGGCGGGTCCAGCTGCGCTCCCCAGCAGATAGAGTGACCCTGTGCAGGGCTGGTGTCCGGGCCCGGGTCTCCCCGTCTGCAAACCAGGAGCCACTCAGCTGCTCAGCTGGGCTGTTACAGAAACTCACAGCGCCTGAGCGGCCTTTTCTTTCGGGTGCTAACACCTCTCTGTGGCCGCACGAAGGCAGGCACGGATTTCCAATTACTCGGCTTGTACTTTCTCTCCCTGGGAATTGTAGTCCGCCTCTGTTGACAAGGGAGTCAAAACTCAAAGTCATGATAAACCTGAAAAAACGCAAGGAGCACAGTGAAGAAAGCGAAGAGGAAAGAGGGACGGCTCCCGGAGGCCCAGAGCCGAAGTGTTCGGTCGCTCAGTCGTGTCCGACTCTTTGTGAGCCCACGGACTGCAGCCCACCAGGCTCCTCTGTCCATGGGGTTCTCCAAGCAAGGAGCCATTGCCTTCTTCAGAGGATCTTACCAACCCTGGGGTGGAACCCAAGTCTCCTGCAATGCAGGCAGGTTCTTTACGGCCTGAGCCGCCAGGGCAGTCCAGGAAGGGATGAAAGGAACGCACAAGGGGGAAAGAAACAAGGGGAAGAAGTTGGGACAAATAAAGAAGGGAAAACATGAACAGGAAGTAGATGGAGAAGAAAATTAAAAAGTAGGAGAAGGAAAGAAGAAAAGGATGAGAAGCAGGAAGGCAGCAGAGGAGGGGCAGGGCTCAAACACTCAAGTCTGAGGCTTGCAGCCCTCCCAGCAGGAGACTGTCTAATTACCCCATTTCCTCCAAGCTGCTTCTCTGGCTGCAAAGTGGTCTTGCGTCTGGAAAAAGCCCTAAGCATCTTAGGTGCATCTGTTCCGCCTAATCCCTGACAGCGCGGGGCTGTGTTCCTGCAGACGCGGGGCGCAGGCTCTGCCAGCCGCAGTGCTTGGAGCCTTCGGGTCTCCGACTGGGGTGCCCAGGAGCAAGGGCATAGGGGGGTGGGGGGTAGGGGGTGGGTGGCGGGGGGATGTCGGGGGTGAGGAGCACTGCCTTCTTCCACCCATACCCAGGCAGGAGCAGGAAAACAGCTTCTTCCTCCCCCGATTTAAGGGCAGGAAGTCCGTGCGTCTGGTCTTGCTGTTTCCACTCCTCAGTTAACTTCCTCGCCGAGCTCTTCCCCTCTAAGCCGGCTTTGTCTGAATGGGCCAGCATCCAATTCCTTCAAATGAAAAGAAAGCAGGGGGAGACAGGAGAAGAGAGGAGAGGGGAGGATGGGGAGGGAGAGGAGCAGATGGGAGGAGGGAGGAAGCAGAAACGGAGAGACGGTCCAGGCCCCCGTCCACACAATGGTCGGTCTGACTTACCTGCCACCGACAGGACTTACAGAGAAAATTTGTTAAAGAATCAGGAAGAGAGAGGAAAGCACAATATGAACATCGCACAGACAGTATATGCAAGGTGGATCAGCAAGGCCAGCCTGGAACAGGGCGTGAGAGGGTAAAACAAGGCTGCCTGACTCTGTTTTGGGCATTTGTGGTGATGATTTCATTTGCTCATGGTTCATTTTGGGAGTGAAAGGGTCTCCAGAGCACCCTGAGCTTTAAAAATGGCCCAAGCATTATGGGATGGGACGAGGGGGCTGCACCAGGAGGTGGCCTTGGGCCCCCCCCCCACCCCCAGGAGAGAACGCTTCCTTTGTCATTCACCTCGGCTAAGCAGGCCCCCCTGGGAATTTCATCCTGGCACCTTCTCCATCGCCAGCATGTTGTCCGGTGGCGCCTCGCATGAGACTGGCGAGCAGAGCATCTTTTGCTTTGCCCTGAAGCAGAACTCAGCCACTGTGGCAACAAGCTGCCGGGGAAACGGAACTTCCACACTTTCTGTTTAAATCTCTCCGAGGAAAGATGTTTACAAATAACACCAGACTGGTATGAGTCACTCAGAACAGAGCATTCTCAGTTCCTTTTGAGAGAGAAACAAGTACCACCCCCTGTCACCGGGAAGGGCTGGAGCGTCTGCCCCTCGGGCGTCAGAGGGGTCCCCCTTCTTTCATCTCGCCATCTCTGCAAGAAATAACTCCCTTGGAAGAGGGCAGATTCCAGCCCCTCTGCTGCCAGGCCAGCTCTCCTGCACCCCGTCCCTCCGCCTAACTCTCAGCACAACCAGCCCGGCACCGAATGCCTGTACCTCCAACCAAGGGAAGCAGTGAATTATTTTCTCCTTCAAGAAACAAAACACGCTTTGCTGCTCCTCTTCCTTTAGAGCAGAAAATCCGGAGTTACTAGATAACCCCAAGAAGCACAGTGTAAATTATTGACAGTTTCCCCAGGAAGACTGAAAGTAGAATTACCCAAAACCAATGGAATTCTTTTGTTCCAAGACCAGCTCTAAAATCATGAACCTGGGGTGGAACTTCACGTGTGCTCTGCTCAGTCGCTCAGCTGTGTCCGACTCTTTGCGACCCCACAGACTGTAGCCCGCCAGGCTCCTCTGTCCATGGGATTCTCCAGGCAAGGATACTGGAGTGGGCTGCCATTCCCTTCTTCAGGGGATCTTCCCGACTCTGGGATCAAACTCAGGTCTCCTGCATTGCAGATGGCTTCTTTACCATCTGAGCCACCAGGGAAGCCCAGAACTTCACATATTCCCTGCTAGCTGTCTATACCCAAACACAGGGCAGCCTGAACCCAGCTAGTAAATACCCACTTCCAGAAGGCATGGGTGAGCCTTCCGTTGGCAGGAAATTCTGTTTCTTGGAAGAAGAAGAATCTTTGTTAGGGAAAGTTGTGGGTCTAAGGTGAGGTTCCCAGGGCTGGTCTGAGGTCACTGATGCCTTGGGAGCCCCATCTTGTTCCAAGACCACCCAAAGCCACAGAAGGACCCAGAAGCTTGAGGGTTTGCGAAGGCCCCAGGCATCTGCTTACAAACACTGACAGCATCTTTCTCATACCACATCTCCCTTGGACAAAACTACAGTTTAAAAGTCATGATTGCACTTTTACAAGTACAAATATATATATACACACACACACATACTTACATATATATATACATGTATATATACATATATATAGATATAGATATACACATGTGTGCATGCATGCTCTCTCTAACTGTGTCTGACTCTTTAAGACCCCATGGACTGTAACCCACCAATCTCCTCTGCCCAGGCAAGTATTCTCCAGGCAAGAATACTGGAGTGGGGTGCCATTCCCTTCTCCAGAGGATCTTCCCGACCCAGGGATCAAACCCAGCTCTCCTGCGTTGCAGGCAGATTCTTTACCGTCTGACTCGCCAGGGAGCTTGGCTCCCTCCAAACCTCCCAGACTCTCTGTGCATGAAAACCATGGTCCGGGTCACACTCACCTGCTCAGGGCCTCATATTGCACTGGTAGGCAGCTCACGCCGGCCCTGCCACATCCTGGGCACACGTGCATCAAGAACTGATAGGCCTGAGGTTGGTGGGACTCCACTCCTACACAGGACAGAAAGATTCCTAGGTCCTCCTAGTCTTTGGAAGAAAGCTGGTCCTACATGGGGAGTTCTACTCCAACTCCTCGAGGGTGAGGCTTTCTCCCACGTGGAGACATGTCTATATTCTCCCACTTACTTATTTTTGTTGTTCAGTCCTTCAGTCATGTCCAACTCTATGCCACCGTCTGGACTGCAGCAAGCCAGGCTTCCCTGTCCTTCACCAACTCCCGGAGTTTGCCCAAACCCATGTCTATTGAGTCAATGATGCCATCCAACTGTCTCATCCTCTTGCCCCCTTCTCCTCCTACCTTCAATCTTTCCCAGCATCAGGGTCTTTTCCAATGAGTTGGCTTTCGCATCAGGTGGCCAAAGTTTTGGAGCTTCAGCATCAGTCCTTCCAATGAATATTCAGGATTGATTTCCTTTAGGATTGATGGGTTTGATCTCCTTGCAGTCCAAGGGACTTATTTATTCCATCACTATTTTCGTCAGTAAGAACTCAGGGATACTCATTTTCCACTTCGGGTTAGAAAATGAACTCAGGTTTGTTGCTCAAATTGTTCCCACTTCGGCCACTGGAGGCTCTCTGAGCTGTCCCCTGGGCCCCTGGAGGCTCTCTGAGCTGTCCCCTGGGCCCCCAGGTGAGCACATCTTATTCTCTGGCACCGCAAGATGCTCCTGGCTGATTTCCTGCCCTGGCCTGGATTCTCCAAGGAGCTCTGCCTCCTTTTACTGGAGGACGGAGGACCGTGGTGAGAACTCAAGATCCAGCACGAGGTGTGCTGTTTGGTAGCCGGGTACCATTTTCTTTCTCCCCCTTTTTTTTTTTAAAGGCCCTGTTAACTGACGGAGGGGCTTCCCTGATGGCTCAGATGGTAAAGAATCCACCTGCAGTGCAGGAGACCTGGGTTCAATCCCTAGGTCGAGACGATCCCTTGGAGGAGGGCATGGCAATCCACTCCAGTATTCTTGCCTAGAGAATCCCCATGGACAGAGGAGCCTGGCGGGCTACAATCCATGGGGTCGCAAAGAGTCAGACACGACTGAACGATTAACACATTCACTTTCTTTAACTGACAGAAAGAAGAAATTTGTGGGTACAGAACCCTCATATATATAAATATTAATATTTAGAAATAGTGAATACGAATATGTGTTCCACCCAGTCATCCCTCCTCACTCCCTGCTTCAACCACTGATGCGTTTACTGTCTTTATAATTTTGCTTTTTACAGACGTCATATAACTGGAATTGAACAGTATGTCATCTGTTCAAACCGGCTTCTTTAACTTAGCAATAGGTACGTGTAGTTCTGTCTTTTCGCATCTGCTGTGTTGTTCAGTCAACTCCAGGGAAGAAAAGCAAGCACGAATCTGTCACTTCCGCTCCTTTTGCTCCCAACCTGAGCCTGGCTTGCTCACCTCCTGCAGATCTGGATTCATGGCTCATCCAGGTCAGACCTTCACGGCCACGCCACATGAAAATGCAGACACCACCTTCATTCTTTCCTGGCTTATTTTATTCCAAACGCCTTGACTGCGGTGTATTCATCTGTTTAGTGTGTGTCTCTATGAAGGCAGGGCTTTTTTTTTCCTATTTAATTCTTTGGCCTTTTCTCAGCACCAGAAACAGTAACTAGCACACAGGAGCCCTCAGTCACTATTTGACAGACGGATAAACCAGAAGGACATCCTCCCCCAAAAATGTGTACGTATGTGTGCCTGATCCCATGCCTGTATGCCCCTTGGCTTCACGGAAAATCAATGAATTAGGCTGGCAAGGCGGAGTCAGGCGCTGTGAGGAAGTATACCCCCTCAGCACTCTCGCCAACTACAATCTCACCTGCCATTTCTCTGCTAGAGATTAATTTAGCTGCTGTCTTTCCCCTGTTGGAGTTTTGGTTTTCAGTTTCAAATGCTTAAGGGGGATACTTTTAATTTTTTTTCTTCCTTTTTATTGAAGTATAGTTGATTTATAATGTTCAGTTAGTTTCAGGTATGCAAAGTGATTGTGTGTGCGTGTGTGTGTGTGTACATATATGTATCCTTTTTCAGATTTTTTTCCATTAAGGTTATTGCAAGTAACATGTTTGGTATGATTTTATTTGTTTCTTTATTTACGGCTGTGCTGGGTCTCCATCGCTGCATGTAGTCTTCAGTTGTGATGAGCAGGGGCTCCTCTCGAGTTGTGGCAAGTGGGCTTCTCAATGAATGGCTTCTTATTGTGGAGCTCGGGCCTCTGGGGCGCTGAGGCTTCAGCAGCTCCCTCTTGCAGGTGTCCAAGCTCCGTGGCCTGAGGGATCCTCCCAGACCAGGGGTCAAGCTAGTGTCCCCCACATTGCCAGCTGGACTCTTCACCAGTGGACCACCAAGGAAGCCCAAGGAACATGTTTTTTAATTCCTGTATATTTAGTGTAATGAGCTAGGTCATTTAGAGACATGTTGAGGAAGAGTATGAACTGTCTTCCCCACCCCCTGTGCCCGCCCCCCTTAGGCCTGGAACACTGAGGCTCCTGCCCCGAGCCCTCTGCTTTGAAGGCTGAGCCTGACCAGCGTGCCAAGCAGTCTCCAGGGCCAACAGAACGTGTCTACCCGCAGTCTGGGACTCTCCTCCCAGCTGGTACTCCAGGTACCAAGGATGCTAGAATCGCCCCCCCAAGCGGCCCAAGCCCTCTGTCTGAGCCAGCACTGGGCTCCTCCGGGACTCGCCCTCCCTGGCACGGGCCCAGGGCAGTGCACTCACCTC